CTGTGCCATATGGGATAAAACCCCGGTGCAATGAAGGCGATCATGACTCACCGACTTCCTAACCCACCAGGACATCACACAAGCGATAAACACCCGATGACACAAAGTGCCACCATGTGGATGAGGATCGCCGTGGAGAGGTCCCAGAAACCGCGTTCAGACAATTGGCCATATTTATGGCCTGCCTATATTGTCGCCCCTGGGTGGGGCTTCAAATAACGAAAAATTTCGTCCTAAAAAGGACGAAACATAGTAGAAGGCGATCGTCTCACCTTCACCTTTAAGTATGGTGAACTGCTTGGTAGCGAAGGAGTTCTGGCCTGGGTTTTCGGGCCTATGTGCAACGCTTAACTGCTAACAGCGGCACTGATCGTCAGTGGCTAAGATAACCCAAACACGCCTCCAGCTTGTCATACTCACGAGGAGCTGGATAGAGACTGAATTAATTACCAGCCTGCCACATAGATTAGGTCAAGGCCACGCTTCCCGTGTGCACTAGTGTGTGCTATCTTATTTTCAGCATTAGTAACATGTGCGTGCTGATCTGTATCGTCTCTCTCTCTCTCTCTCTCTCTCTCTCTCTCTCTCTCTCTCTCTCTCTCTCTCTCTCTCTCTCTCTCTCTCTCGCACACACACACACACACCACACAATCATGTCTAAAACTCTTTTAACCCTTTAAAGTTAATGCCAGCAAATGTTACACAGCGAGACAAAAATCTCAGCGTTGACGGCAGACCAAGCTCAGATATCCTGTTCCACCTCCAAGGAAGTTATGATTAGTGCTCCCGTACCGGCCACAGACACACACACACAAACCAGCTTGTGCGGGTACGGATTGTTGATTAAGCGTACTGGTAACTGATTATGTTTCATAATAAACAAGTACAAGGGCTTGCCTACACCATGAGAGAGGAGACAAAAAGAAGCAAAAAAAGCTGCCCTTGTCGCTATCGAACGGTGGCACAGGAGCAGGACTGTCGAATTTTGGGAAATAGTACAAGACTGTTCTGGACAAGGTACCAAAAAACACTCAAAAAATTACAAAAATTTTCTAACTTTTTTGTTTAAACCGCTAAAACGTCGCAATTTGTTTAACTTTTAATGTTGTTAAGCAGAGTTAAAAATAAATACATAAAATTTCTGCAGCTGCAGAAGAATGCGATACTACCAAAAGATTAGGAGGCATACATTTTGAAGCTATTTTCATTTGCACATTTTTTTGTTTCTTTCTAAAATTGTAAACAAAATTATTTGTGTGTGTTTGTTTGTTTTTAACCACATGTGATAGTTCCCTACATTATGTATCTGTATGTTCATAATCTTTTTTTTAAATAACAAAGCTTTGACATTTCATCACCAATTGACGTCGGTCTTACTCCAGTAACACTTAACTGGATCCAGCGTACATTGCCAACATAGTGATGCCCAATTTTTTTTTTTTTTAAACCAAAACATTGGGTGTGTTACCAAAAGTAGTTTTGCTCGACAATGCTGAAACTGTACCCAAAATGTACGAAAATACCAATTTCGGCAGCCCTGCACAAGAGTCGAACCTTAGGGGTGGGGGGTGGGGGTGGGGACTAGGGCCCTCATCACGTAATACTCTCAAGGACGACAGTGGATACACTGCGGCCAACCTCCCCTGCGGAGACAGCCCATACACAAAAATGTCAGCTACGAATTAAATGACAGCTGCCACCCCCCCCCCCCCCCCCCCCACACACACCAAAAAAAGCAGTTAAACTGCAACAGGAAATGCTGTATTTAAACACATCGCATGCACGAATACACAATTTATGATCATCGCAACATGACGAATGAAAGGTCGTAAACTAGCAGAAGAGACTTTCTTCGCGTTAATGGCTGCCTGATTAAGCTGAAGCAGGTCAGGCGGGAACTCCCTCATTGATCCCTTGTCTGGCCCGGACTTGGGTTACTTCATAACTGTCAGGGGCCCCAATACAACTTTACGCTGAATGGGGCTGACCAGGAAGGATTTGTACATGTTGGATTCTCATACTTAAGCTGTTGTTAATCCTGGAGGGGAGAAACTGTAATGCAGGGGACAAAGCTGGCAGTTATTAGTTCACTTTCTTCTAAACCGCGCATACAAACACACACACACACACACACACACACACACACACACACACAGAGAGAGAGAGAGAGAGAGAGAGAGAGAGAGAGAGAGAGAGAGAGAGAGAGAGAGAGAGAGAGAGCGAGAGAGAATAGAGAAGAAAGAGAGAACTAAGTTAGGGAAACCAACTCCAGCCTGACTATGTTCTCCATTTTTTAACTTTTCATTCTCTTTTCTAGCTCTTAAACGTCAGTTGTTTGTGAGATATTAGCCAATATACTACACCTGGGCACCTGGTTTAGAAAATTACAGAAAACAACCAGACAGGGTGAAATGACAGGAATTCCACTGGTTTTATTACCAAACTTAATTTTATTAAGTCCATCCTCTTGAACTTCACAGCAACAGTTCAAAAGCCAATACAGCAAATAATATGCTTTGTGTCTGCGGTTTTTATTTCATTATCCGCACAATAAAATTATCACAAAGAACTACTTTGAAAACAAATTATACCCATCAGCCGTTTAAAAGAAAATCTCCTCCGAAGCTTGGGCGGGGTCTGTAATGTTTTCCAACCTAAGATGTCCTAACTTAAGAATTAGTAATCTTTCTATATGCGTTCTTTTTAATTATTAGGCTTAATGTTTTTCATATTGTAGCACCCAGACTTGACCTCCAGCTGACCGGGATTGTTAACACTTCGCCGACTTCTGACCAGCACTGTTAACACTTTTATCTTATTTTGACCTAGACTACTATCACTTTACCTCTTCTTCACCAAGACTGTTTTTACTTTTTTACCTACTCCTGACCCAGACTGTTACAACTTTCCTGACCCAGACTGTTACAACTTTACTGACCCAGACTGTTACAACTTTACTGACCCAGACTGTTACAACTTTACTGACCCAGACTGTTACAACTTTACTGACCCAGACTGTTACAACTTTACTGACCCAGACTGTTATTACCTTTTCCTGACACAAACAACCACCTTTTCGCCTCCATTCTTTCTGAGATAGATAATCATTTCGTTACCTCCTCCTGACATAGAAAATTAACATTTTGATTTGTCTTGACCAAGCAACGAAACTGTTAGCTCCTCCTGACCCAGAAAGTAAACATTTTGATTCCTCCTGACCCAGAAAGTAAACATTTTGATTCCTCCTGACCCAGAAAGTAAACATTTTGAAACCATCTCCTCCTGACCCAGGCAGTGAAACCATCTCCTCCTGACCCAGGCAGTGAAACCATCTCCTCCTGACCCAGGCAGTGAAACCATCTCCTCCTGACCCAGACAGTGAAACCATCTCCTCCTGACCCAGGCAGTGAAACCATCTCCTCCTGACCCAGACAGTGAAACCATCTCCTCCTGACCCAGGCAGTGAAACCATCTCCTCCTGACCCAGGCAGTGAAACCATCTCCTCCTGACCCAGACAGTGAAACCATCTCCTCCTGACCCAGGCAGTGAAACCATCTCCTCCTGACCCAGACAGTGAAACCATCTCCTCCTGACCCAGGCAGTGAAACCATCTCCTCCTGACCCAGGCAGTGAAACCATCTCCTCCTGACCCAGGCAGTGAAACCATCTCCTCCTGACCCAGGCAGTGAAACCATCTCCTCCTGACCCAGGCAGTGAAACCATCTCCTCCTGACCCAGGCAGTGAAACCATCTCCTCCTGACCCAGGCAGTGAAACCATCTCCTCCTGACCCAGGCAGTGAAACCATCTCCTCCTGACCCAGGCAGTGAAACCATCTCCTCCTGACCCAGGCAGTGAAACCATCTCCTCCTGACCCAGGCAGTGAAACCATCTCCTCCTGACCCAGGCAGTGAATCCATCTCCTCCTGAGCCAGAAAATTCACAGTTTACCTCCTAATGACCCAGACAGTTAACATTTGACCTCCCCTCATGAACCCAGCATATATAAATCCCACTGACCAAGATAGCTATATCACATTACATCCTAATGACTCATATTATTATTATTTTACTTTTGTTCTGACCTGTACAATCATTACTTACCAGAACATTTTCACTTCACCTCCTTCAAACGCACACAATTACTACTTTATACAGCCTCTGAATAGTTACCTGAACCACACAACTGTTTATTTTATAGTAACAACTGCTGGCAACAGAAAGCGTACAACTCACACATATGATTTGATCACCCCCAAAAAATTATTGGACAGATGAAATCATGAGAGGTGATTCACTGTTAAATGCCCAGGAAAATGTCCAATATAAAAAGGGAAAAACTCAAGAAGGGGTGATGAAATAAGAGAAAAATCTGGGCAATAACTGGTCATAAAAGTAATGATAAAAAAAATGGTGTGTGCTATACCAGACACATTCTGAGCGGACACGAGCAGACCAAAACACACACATTAAATTCGGAAATAAAGGAATTGAAGAAGTGAGGACGTCCCAAAAAAACCCATAAAATTAACGTTGATGAGAAACACGAAACTGTTGGACAAAATTATATGAATGACATCAAAGAGACTAAAAGGATAGAACGTGGTGAAAACTCCCCTTTGTTGCTGTTGTGTAGTTGGTTCATGTCTCTAGTCGAAACGTCGATTTGTGCACGTTGTTCTGCTTCCCCATTTCATTAGCCCCCCCCCCCCTCCCCCCCTGAAGTCGGAGTACATCTGCCTGTTAGACAGGAACGGGTAAAAGCCAGTAAAACGGTTGTACACGCAAAACCCAGGTCCAGGTAAAAGCCAGAAGTCCAACTGGACGATTAACCGGGACCTTCCGCCGGAATTCACAGCCGGTGAACGAAGAAGAAGCAGAAATTAGGCTTCTCAGTGACTATTCACTGGTTTAATTTCAAAGGACAGAACGGAACAGAGGAACAGGCTACGAGCCCTATATGACATATAATGGCGCCACGGGACAATGACAGTACTCACTATTCCGTGACTAGAATCAGTTCTGACTGCGTCTCAAACACCTCCCTGAGGGAAACCAGTCGAGGGTGGGCCATGGCAAATTCAAGCATGACCACCTCTCGTAGAATCTCCTCCCGACAGCTCTTTCCCTTTCTCCTTTTGCGGATGATCTTTGCCGCCACTTCTTCGCCCGTCTGATTGTCCAAGCATCTTCTTACAACTGCAAATTTGCCTCTGAAAACAAAAACAAAATGAAATGTATAATTCAATTTGATGACCACAAATGAAAATAATTTACTCATGAAAATAATGCAAAATATTATGGGTCACAAATCTATAATGTATTTGACAAGAGCTACATAAAACTAAAATTTGGCAAAGAATAGGGTCTATTTCATGGAAACAAAAAACTGACACTGATGTTATTATGGACAGACTGGGACGTTTCGGAGTTTTGGTTAAACAAGTTTTTAAAAAAAACTGAAATATTTCTGCCACATTCATCATCATCGTGTTGCAGGTCCTTTGCAGAACGTCGCTCTCATCACAGTCTGCCTGTAAGAAACTCGGTCTCTTGCCAGTTCCCCCGCCTCAAGAACTTTCACACTTAAGGAGTCACTTATATCCTGTGCCCATCTTCGTGTCGGTCGGCCTCTGCCCCTCCTTCCTGGTACCATGCCTTCTGCTATATTTTTTTCCAATCCGTCGTGGCGCTTGATATGACCAAAATATTTCAGCTTTCGAGAAAGGATGCTGTTTGTTAGCCAATCTTCCTTGATGTTCAGATCTTTTAAGATGTCAATATTTCTCATCTTCTGTGTCCAAGATATTATGAGAATCTTTCTATAACATTTCAGCTCAAAAGCCCCTATTCTCTGCCACATGAAATGACTATTATATTTCAAGTATTTTATATGTACCGGAGATTGAAATAAGAATCTGACCTAGGCAGCTTATATTATATGTACCGGAGATTGAAATAAGAATCTGACCTAGGCAGCTGCTATTATATGTACCGGAGATTGAAATAAGAATCTGACCTAGGCAGCTTATATTATATGTACCGGAGATTGAAATAAGAATCTGACCTAGGCAGCTGCTATAGTAGCGATTGATTTTTAACCTACAAATGCTGTTTTAAAAAAAATTATGGTAACACCAGCAGAACATAAATGACATCATGACCAGCTGAAGTTAACTTTATTTAACTAGCCTCTAACTCTTTCAGCTGCAGGTACTGTCACACACAAGACGACCAAGTGGGTTAAACGTGGATAATGAAGAATACCTGACACTAACACGACTGCGTGACATGAGAGTGATGCACGGTGAAGCATGTCTAGGCCCCCTTTGAAGCCAAGATAGGAGACAATATAACCAGTTCCTCATGGGAACAATCGGTAGAGGTGTCTTGGAGTAGCTACTGCATCGGAGGACTGAGTTCGCGCGGGAATGCGCGATGTGAAAGTGTGGTCAACTGTGATAACACTGGGAATACAAGTGGTTGGAATGCTACCGACCACATCAACCATCAAGTATCAAACAGCAGCCCATACCAAATATGGGTTTAGCACCATATACCCAATATGCCCAGAGCGGGAAAAAGGGGCTTCGTGTCTTCAGTGGACTCCCGCCAGATACATTGGGAGCTGTGGTAACGCAGTAGCTAGATTCTCGCATGACGGCTCAAAGGTCTTGTGTTCAAATCTGCAGTTTGATATTTTTTCTTTTCAAAATCGACTTTGGCTCCCAATTCGACCCAGCCTTAAACTGGTAACAAGTAATATCCTGACAACTAAAGGAGGCGAATGCAACGTTAACAACAGCAACCCCCCCCCCCCCACCCCCACCCCCAATCTTCTGGCCAAAATAGTCGGGTTCAAACTGCTACTTAGATGATTTGTTATGTTAAAGATTTATTTCTCTTACAAACTGACGCTGACTCCTAAGTCGACCCAGCCTAAAATGGGTGCCGTCTAAAATTCCAGAAATCCCCGTGTGCGTTCCGTGACCCCATAGTGTGGAAAACCAGAATATACCCTCTACCTCCCCAACAATCATGACGTAGGAGTCGACTAATTGGGGACTTCCTTCGAAGTCGGAATGCATCTGCCTGAGAGGCAAGGAACCAATAGTCTGCATACGAATAAGTCAGATCTGTAAGACTGACGACGACGCACCACTCAGGTTCAGAACAAGACTTAAATCCAGAAATGGACGAACAACCAGAACTTTCCGCTGGAGTTTACAGTCGGTAAAAGCAAAGAAGATATCATGGAAAGTAAAGGCGCGCAGCACCATATAAACAACATAGCCCATCGAGTACCGATTGGTCTATACAAAATATGTCAAGCATCATTTGCCTTTTCTTTGCTCTACTCCCGATGTACACCAGCCACGCTACCAAGTCCCGCGACAATAGATGTTTTATGTACTTATCAAAACATGCTACCCAGTGCTGCGACAATATATGTTTTATGTACTTATCAAACCACGCTAAACAGTGCTGCCACGTACATGTTTTATGTACTTATCAAACCACGCTACCCAGTGCTGCGATAATAGATGTTTTATGTATTTGTCAAACCACGCCACCCAGTGCTGCGACAATAGATGTTTTATGTACTTATCAAAACATGCTACCCAGTGCTGCGACAATATATGTTTTATGTACTTATCAAACCACACTAAACAGTGCTGCCACGTACATGTTTTATGTACTTATCAAACCACGCTACCCAGTGCTGCGACAATAGATGTTTAATGTATTTATCAAACCACGCTACCCAATGCTGCGATAAAAGATGTTTTATGTACACATTAAACTATGCTACCCAGTGCTGTGACAAAAGATGTTTTATGTACTTATCAAACCATGCTAGCAAATACTGCGACAATAGATGTTTTATGTACTTATCAAACCACGCTACCCAGTGCTGTGACAAAAGATGTTTTATGTACTTATCAAACCATGCTAGCAAATACTGCGACAATAGATGTTTTATGTACTTATCAAACCACGCTACCCAGAGCTGCAACAAAAGATGTTTTATGTACTTATGAAACTATGCTACCCAGAGCTGCAACAACAGATGTTTTATGTACTTATCAAACCACGCCACCCAGTGCTGCGACAATAGATGTTTTATGTACTTATGAAACTATGCTACCCAGTGCTGCGACAAAGCTGTTTTATGTACTTATCAAACTACATTCATCTGACATGACCTAACTATTAATTTATTCAGTTTTAGCACCGCTTCTGGTGACATATTCACAGCGGAGTTGATTCTTTCTTTGTCGCCTTAACTGGGTTACATGCTCTGTTGAATATGCAACTGTCACAGTCCTATCAGATTTGTTGATTCCTTTATTAGCCTTTCCAAATAAAATGTAATTCTTCAGCATTCCTATGGTATAGACTTATCAATATACAGAAAGCTTCATTCGTCCCTATCTATAGCTGTATTTTTCTCCCATCTCCGAACATGTGTTTTCTATTCTTTCACCCAGCTAGAACAAAAAGTGATTTTGATAATGCAAACACTTGGATCTGCTCGACTTCTCCAAGTCATACAGGTATGTCAGGCATTGTCAACTTTCATTAAAGCTTATCCCGCCTGGCTGCTATCTCGAATAGCAATACATTTATTAAGCCATAAATGAAATCATTAATTACTTTGAAAGTGCGTCTAATGGTATTCTCTCTGTTATCGGCATATGGAATTCACCTGGGTGATACATGCACTTTATATATATATATATATATATATATATATATATATATATATATATATATATATATATATATATATATATCTATATATATATATATATATATATACACACACTAGCTGTATCCGGCCACGCATTGCTGTGGCATAGTTTGGCTAAATGAAAATGAAAGAAAACAGAAATCGCACGTGTCTAATACAATCATTGTCTGCTCAGATATAGAGATAGTCTTTGATCCCCCCCCCCCCCCCCCCCACCACAACTAAATCCACCTACTACTCTCTCCCTCATCAACGGTTTTTGGAAAAGAAAGACAACGGAAATCGCACGTGTCTAATATAGTTAATGTCGCAATCATTCTCTGCACAGATATAGAGATAGTCTGGTTTTCCAACTTTAGAACACGCACCTTATAATTGTGTTTTTATATTAGTGGTCGTTTAAATGTTGTTATTAGCACAGTAAAAAAAAATGGTTATTTGATTATCACATGCTAAAGCTGTTTGTATTTTTATAGGGGACGGAAGTAAAGCTACAACTGTACTTGTGAATAACAAAGTAAGTCGTAAAAAATAGAAAAGCGGAGGTAGCGTTAGTAAAATATAAACAAATTAGGTAATAAGAACTTGAAAATCACGTGTAAAGCTCCTTAAGTTCTCTTAAATTTAAGTCATTACCCCCTCCCCTCCCCTCTTCCACCGACTACTGCTCTTTCCCTCTTCGAAGGATTTGAAAATCACTATCTGGCGATATTTTTTTGTTGCTGTAACTGACATTGACATCCCTGTCCATCTGGACTAAAATGGGGAGCAGGAATTGTAATAGGTAGTGAATGGGGCTAGTGTAATATTTACCACATCATCCTTCAAGTACCAGTACAACTACTACCACGACCACCACCACAGTAGCTAAAATAATGTCATTGCTATCTGTGTTACAATCGGAGTAGACAGAGAGTCGTGAGCCAGAAGATTTGGTTCCGCATGGCTAGTGCTGTCGCTACAGAATGGTCAGGTTAGGATGTATAATTTCACTTCCCGACAGAAGAACGCCATAACCTTACCGGCGGTCTTCACATGAGAGCACTATGGTGTAACAGCCCAACCACAACTATTACTGCTGCTGCTACTTTAAGTGGGTAAAGCAGTTACTGTGACTTAAAGCTCTCTCAGTTAATTGTTTGCCCCGCCCCCCCCCCCCCCCCTTTAAATTCACCAACAACTCTTTCCCTCATTGAAGTAGTTGGGAGAAAAAAAAAACACTTGAAAAGCAAATGAACACAGGAAAAAAACTCAATTATTAGGAAATGAACGCCATGGTAAACAGCACAGCTTAAAATTCCAACGCAGATGAAATAACTAAATCTAAATGAAAATAAATGGAAATCTATGAAATTTCAGCATAACCATGCAATCGGAAAGTTTTAAAATGCAATCATAAGTATGCGAAATGGTCAAATTTAATTATCAAATGGTTTACCCATTTACTTGTCTTTTTTT